AACATCTTCACAACCATGACTTTGAAATTCTTATCAGGTAAATCAATTCTCTCCATTTCATTAATGTTTCCCGAGGTTTATCTTGTTCTTTCTTTTGGAACATATTTTGTTGTTTATTCATTTTGTTTGACTGTGTTGGTTTCTATGCACTAGATGAAACAGTCATTTCTCCTGGTCTTGAAGGACCCACCTTGTGTAGAAGATGAAACATTGTTCAGCCCTGCCCTAACTCTTGGTTGTCTCTCAAACTTTTGTGACTTTCCGAGGAGCCTATTTTATTTTTAATAGCTCCCAGTAACTGAGGGGGTGCCAAGACTAGTCAGTGTCCCAAAGGGGAGCACCTCAGTGAGCACCAGGATTCAGTCTGATTAGAAGCTAGACTCTCCTCAGGCAACAGCGTTTAAAAAATGTTAATATATGCAGGCCTATGGAATCCCAGCCATAAGCCCCACTGGCCCCTAGAACCAGGCAATCTGAAGATGTCCCCTGGTCAGCAGTTGCAAAAATCAGAACTCCAAACAAGTGTACAAGCCCCTTTCTGGGACATACGGGTGAGCTGTAGTGAGAGAGTGGGGAATTACAAAGATGACATCCCCTGCCCTATGTGCTCTGAGAATACCTCCAAAGCCTCCAGACATGTGCCAAACCTGCAGTCTGCCCAAAGCTCCAGGACTGGCAAGTCATCGTCTTGCACAGAAAGTAGGGTGGGTGGTTCAGTCTGCTGTCTGTGCAGTGTCCTGCAGATGGGAGTCTGCCAAGAACTGTCCCTCTGGTGGCTACGGTCCCAGGGGAACCCGGAGTGCAAACCCCTGCCCATCAGAGCTAGGCAAACAAGGGATACCCCCTGAGCAGCAGTCATAAAAACCAGAGCACTTGTAATAAAAATTGGGGTACCGGACACATATAGAAGCTCCCCTCCAAGCCAGGCTAGTGCTGTGGAGCATGGCAGAGGGAGAGAGCTCTAAGGTCTCTGGAAAGATTTCTAGTCAGGCCTTAGATGTGTGAATTTGAAAGGCTGCCCCTCATGCTGCAGCTGTGATAAGCTAATTGGCCTCTTTTACAGAAAGATTGAACTCCGGGGTCTGTTGCCTCTTGCTGTGGGTGTGGTAGCTGCTTAAGGACTCTTGGTTGTTGACTGTCCAGAAGGACCTGAAGCAAGTATAAGCTCCACTGGGCACCAGAGCCAGGCAACGGACACATGTCCCCTGGCAGCAGCCACAGAAATCAGGGCACCACGCAAGGATATAAACTGCTTTCTGGAAGATACCAGCAGGCTGGAATGAAGCAGAGGGAGAGGGCAAGGTTCGAGGCCACTGGCCCCTGTTCCCTGAGGGCACTTCCGTAAGCTCCTGCAAGTAAGCAAACCAGAAGCCTGCCCCTCAGGCCACAGCTCCTGGACAAAGAAAGAGACCTCTGGGTTAGAAGGAAGAGCAGGCAGAGTCGGGAAATTGTTTGGCCTGCTGTCTGTGCGGTGTGCTGGGGACAGCCGTCTGGCCGGAAAGATCGCTCCAATTGTTACAGCCCAGGGGGACCGAAGAATGCAAGCCCCCCAGGGCCTCCAGGACCAGGCCATCAAGGGCCATCCTCCAGTTGGTAGCCACAAACACTGAATTACCGAGTGGAAAACCAGAGCGCCCGATCTGCTTAGGGAGACGCGGGCTCTCTGTAGTACAGCAGAGGGAGAGGGTGCAGATGGTGCTCACTGGCTGGAGCGAAGCACAGGGGAGGGCAAAGATGGTACCTGCTGAAGAAAAAGAAAAGAAAAAAGGAAAAAAAGGAAAGGAAAAACAAAACAAAACAAAATTTAAAAAGGGAAAGAAAGAGGGGGGAAAGTGATGGCGCTTGCCATATTTAGCAAGGGATCATGCAAAATGGCACCCGCTGGCTGGAGCATAAAGATGGCACCTGTGGGGAAGGGAAAAACAAATGGCCACTGCTGGCTTTAGCAAGGCAGAGGGAGAGCAACAAGACAGCACCCACCAGTTCCAGTCTTGGAGAATATCTCAGCAGGCTCTTCCCCCCACTATCAATGCTTTAAAATTAGTAGATGTGGGGGCACCCGGGTGGCTCAGCAGGTTAAGCCTCCAACCCTTGATTTCAGCTTAGGTCATGATCTCAGGATCATCAGATTTAGCCCTGCTTTGGACTCCGCACTCAGCTGGGAGTCTGCTTCTCTTTCTCCCCCTCATGCTCTCTTACCAATAAATAAATAAAACTTAAAAAAATATATAAAATTAGGAAATGTGTCCCATTCACATAAAGTCTGGGCACTTTTCAAAGGGCTGTTTCTGCATTGGGCCCTAGGGTAAGTGAGTCTGTGCAAGGGCCCTTTAAGAGCTGTTTCTCAGTTCACCCTGGCCCTGCAGGTCTGGTGAAGATGAGCCCCATTAGTGTTCAAAGCTAAATGTTTGGGGCTTATCTCTCAGAGGCCAGTCTTAAAAGATGGGATGCATCTTTTAAGTGTGGTGCAAACCCTTCGATCCTCTGGGAGAAGCTCAGGGTTGAGTTCCCTCCTGATTGTGGGTCACTGTTCCAACGGTGAGGTTTATGGTGAAACTGTAGCTCAGCCCTTCCTACCCACTTCGATGTGGTTTCCCTCTTCTTTGCTCCATGTGAAGGGCTCGCTCCCCCAGTTTTTAGATTTCTTTTCAGAGGAAGCTGTTCCACGTGTAGCTGTAGATTCCTTGTGTCCAGGAGGTGGTGACATCAGGATCTTCCCATGTTGCTGTCTTCAACCGGAAACTCACTTTAAACTTTCAAATATATCTCCTTCTGTGGAGGTTTGACTGACTTTTCTACTCGTCCACATTTGTTCACATTGTCAACAAATTCAGTTGGACACTGAATCTCAGAAAACACTGAGCTTGAGATTAAAAAGAAGGGCAGGGAAAGCTGTTAGTACAACATGCTAACCGAACATATCTGAACAGGACAGGGTCAGGTTCATACTCAAAACCACAAGAGTGCTGTGAAGTACAATGATTTCATACTTGTGTTGTGAGGTCATTTTGTTGTAACATTAAAGCCAAGAGTCCTACCCACCCAAGGGCAATGCCAATTTCCCAGAAGCCTCGTTTCTCAGAGCCAAAGCTCCAAAAGGTGCCAAAGCAACCCATGCTGATACTTAGTCTCATGTTATTTCTCAATTTTATGCTTAATTTGCTCCTTTTGGTTTTATGTATTTTGACACAGCCAAGTGTATCTGGGGATTTCCCCACAGTCCTTTAAATGCTATAAAACTTTAATATAGGGAGATAAAAACAATAATAAGCCATGCCTCCAAGCCCTCACATTTAGTTCTTCATTTGAGTTAGACACTAACCAGTTTTGGGCACTGGTTTAGACTTTCAAGTACTTGCACCACTTTAAATCCCCTTCCGGGTTTTCTTACTCTCTCCCCCCTCACCCAAATGAAAATAATGTTCTGCCCATAAGCTGGGCATGCAACACCCATTGAGTGCACAAAATGGCATCCTTACAGTTCTTAAGTTATTATCATAATGGCCTATGTCGTTCACGAGCCAATGCAATTTAATATGGTTTTAATATGGCTCAGAATAAAGCCAAGATGGATGCCCAATTCCCAATTTTAGGCATGCAACGCTGAAATGTCTTTTTGGAAAAAATGAAATAATGCTCCTGGAAGTCTGTTGAGTTAGTCTGTTTTCAGCATAATTGCCTTCCTTCAGCTTCCTAATACCCTTAAAACCTCTGAGAGTCTTTAAATGTACAAAGTTCAACAAAAATACCTTCAAAGTAGATTAGTTCTAATTATGTCTAATATTTGTTTGCTGCTTTATTGAATAAACTACATTTGTTTAAAAAAGAAAAGAAATTCACTTAACTGCACGTCAGTCACCCAAATTTTAAGTGTACAAATGAAATGGAAAACATTTATTACACAAATTTAATTACAATTCTAAGAAATAAACATGCAAATTAGAGTTCAATTTGCAGATGCTAATACTCATCCTTGATCTTATTCCTTTCCTCCCTGATTTTCAGTCTGTGCCTATCCTTGATTCCTAGGGAGCCAGGCAGCAAGAGGTTTCGTTTTTCACAGTCGGAGGATCACTGTTTTAAAGAAGTGTTATATTTAGCACATCTGGCATAGTAGCAGTAAACAAACATTATAGTCTTTGTAACACTTTTGTGCAGGTGCCTTCCCCCAGATTTTATTATTTATTAGGTCTATGCCTTCCAATCCTCTGTGTTCATTACACCTGAAATGACCCATCTCGACTATGGAGGAGTCCCTAGACAGAAGTTATGAATTAATGTTTCAAAAAACAAACTCCAGTTGAGCTTAATACAGGGTAAAATTACTATTTGCAAAATAATGTGATTCCGGAGCTTAAATTACATTCCCTTGACCAAGGACAACCTCCTTTATTACTTTTTTATTTCCTGGAGGTTTTCCCTGGAGGCTCCCCACCCAGAAAAAGTTGCCAATTCAAGTTGCAGGAGGACCAATGTTGCTTTTTTATACATATGCAGCTCCGGAGGGGAACGGGCGGGGGCGGGCGGCGAGAGGAGAATAACTGCTTGGTCCTGCAAAGACATCTGTTTCTCATCTCCGTTTGCTGTGGCAAAGGAGAAGAAAGTCTTTTGCAAAGGGTGGGAAAGGCACAGATTTTTCTTTGCTTTCTTTCTTCTTCTTCTTTTTTTTTTTTTTTAAATCACACGCACACACAACAACAACAGAACTAAACCAAATAAAAAAAGAGAAGACATCTCAGAAGGTTGCAGAGTTAATACGTTATCCGGCTGGAGCCGAGCCCCCAGGGCTAGGGCGGGAGCCGGGGAGCGCGTGGGGTCTGGGCTGCGGGCTGGAGCTGGGCCCGCGTGTCCCCGGGCACTGGGAGGGGAGGAGAGAGAGGGGAGGCGAGGGAGGAGGGAGGGCGGGAAGGAGGGAAGGCGGCAGGGGGCGGGCTGGGGTGGGGGTGAGGGGAAGGCGCCCCGTGTGCTGCCTGAGGAGCGGCGGCGGCGGCGGCGGGAGCAGAGGGAGGGCGGGAGAGCGGGCGCGCTTGTCATGTTCCCTCTCTCACCCTGGGGGCATCCTGCAGAACCTCTCCTCGGAAATCCACGGGGAAATGGCAAACAGGATTGACGGGTTTCACACGCTCTTCGCTAGACAGAGCCGCTCATTACCATAACCGTCTGCAGCGACGGCGGCGCGGCGCCCCAGTCGCGGCGGCGGGACCTGCCGGGACCCTCGCCCGCCGCGCACCAGCGTCCACCGCCGACCGGGCCGCCGGGCCGGGCTCCGCGCGACTGTGCACCGGCGGCCGGGCTGGCGCCGAGCCCAGAGCGGATCAGCGGCGGCGCGAGCGCTCGGGCCGCCGCCTCCCGGCTGACCCCGCGGTAAGAGCCGGGCCGGGCGCTGGCGGCGAGGCAAGGGCGGGTGGAGGGCGAGGGCCGGTCCCCGCGGGCGTTTGCGCGCGCCCCCCGCGGCCCTCCCCCCGCCCCGCGGTCGCCGAGTGGACGCGCACCGGCCGGAGCTGGATCCGGGCGGCGCGGGGGCGAGAGGCGCCGAGGCGGCGCGGGCTTTTCCCGGGGCTGGTGTGCGCCGCGGGGCCTTTACCGGGGCGGAAACGGCGGCCGCCTGCGCGCACCGAGCCGACTCCGGGGGCGGTAGGGATGGTAGCCCCGGTGAGACGCCAGGGTCCTCGGCGGCCGCTCCCTCCCTTCCCTTGGGGGACAGGGGTCAGTAGGAGGGATGCCCCGGGGTCCGGTCGCCGCGGCGCGGGGCAGGTGGAGAGGGAGGGATTGTAGATGTCAGGAGCGCGCGTCTGCGAGAAAAAGGAATAGCTGCAGGAGCTGACACCTTCTGTCCTCCGCCACCTCCGCCCCCGCCACTCTCCTCCCCGGCAGCCGAGCCGCGCTGCGGGCGGCGGCGGCTCCTCTGTCCTCAGCTCACCTCCCGGGCGGGCTCGGCTGCTGCCCGCCTGGTCCACGCCTCCGCCTCTCTCCTCCCTTCCTCCCCTCCCGCCTCTTGGGCCCTAGCAACTTTCCCGAGTGCCCGGCTGAGGCCGGGGAGGCGCGCGGGGGCGGGGGGAGGCGGCCCCCCGGGGCCAGGGTGTCGCGCACAGGGAGGTCGCCCGCGGGAGGTGCGGGCGCTGTCCCCCGCCGCCCGGGTCCCACGGCCGCGCAGGGCGCTCCCGCAGCCGCCGGCTCCGAGTGGGCATGGCCGGCGAGGGAGGGCGGGCCGGGCAGGCATCTGCTGCGGGCTGGAGCGCGGGGCCCGGGCCAGCCTCGCCAGAGCCCTGCCAGCCGCCGTGAGTCATTTCCTTGGAATCCTACCTTTGGTGTTTATTTCCCTTAGAAGGAAACTTGTTTGGGAAAAAAAAAAAAAAAAAAAAAAGACGAAGAAGAAAAGAAAGAAACAGTAATAATAGCTCTTATTCTGAAGGAGAGGCGCACAGCTCCGGCACCGTGGAAAGACAACTTGCCTTTGTTCCCAGACACTTGGGGTGTTTACTTTCTCCTGCGGCGAGCGGCCGGCAGGGCTCCGCTCGCTACCCTGGAAGGGGCTCAGGGGCCGTGGCACCGACCCCTGAGGGTATGTCAGTGCCGGAGCCCGGACCCGGTGCCTGCAGGGGGTCGGTTCTTCAAACCTCACGACCCCTGTCTTGGGCCTGGGATGCGGAGATCTGGCGCCAGGGCTCGGACACCCGGACACCCCATCTTCTCCTTCAGGCCCAGCGCCCGCCTTTCTAGCCCCAGGACCTGCCCTAAAGCTCCGGGCTTCTGGAAGCTACAGCTGAGAAATGCACTTTCCAGGGTAGACAGGTGTACTGCAGGGACTGACAGAAAAGGGTTTATTTAGAAGGGTTGAAGGATTTCCTTCCACCAATTCAGCCCCTTCCATCACCAGCAGCAGCAGCAGCTGGAGGAGCTGTTGGGATCTTGTTAAGCACCACTTCGAGGTCAGACGCTTGATTCCACCTGGGCAGCACCAAAGGTGCATTGAAAACATGAGCCCTTTACTTCTCTGCGTTTCACTGTGGGAATCCGATCTCTAACTGCTATAATGCTCTTAATGTTCTCTAATTTCCGATGAGAGATGGGGGGAGGGGTGGGCAAAGAATGACCAGGAACCCGTTAGATTCAAGGGGCCACTGAATCTTAGGTAGCCGGATCTGTGTGCCAGCAACTCATATTAGCATTAGAATGACTTTCAGGAAAGAACAAGCCTAACTCATCTGGAAAAACCAAATTGTGTAGCAATGCCTGGTAACTTTACGATGAACGTTTGCTGGAAAAGCATGACATTTCAGCCCTCAGCCTTCTGGGAATGCTTGAGGTGTCATTTCATTTCATCCAGTTGGGTGACAAAACAGATATGCAGGAGGAGCCTGGGGATAAGAGGTTAGGAGCTTTTTATTTTTAAATTTTTAAAACCCATATATAGACCAGACACACTTTAACCGCCTACTTTTGAAACCACTCACTTCTGATGTTTAAAAAAAAAAACACCACAAATTTTACCATAAATGTACATCTTTGTGGTTATATCTAATATCAACAGCATATGAATTTGTGGATTTAAACTTCTGAACTCAGTATCAGAATCATAGTGTAAGTCTTATCCTATAGAGAATAATGACAGTTTGGATCTGTACATATAATACAAATAAAGAGTTATGTGAAACATTGGTGCATAGCACCACCCAGTCCTAATGCTTCATGAATGTAGAACTTGCCTTCTTAATTTCTTAACATCCCTTCATAAATTCTAAATAGACTAGGAAGAATTCACTGCAAAATCTCTTGTCTGCTCCCAAATAATCCGAAGTCATTCATACTTTATTCAGACTTAGAAATACCATTTGTGGCACTCAGCTTCTCCAGCTTTGGATTTTGTGTGTAAAAGTTTCCAGTTCAAAAAAAGAAAAACTTAAGAGAAATCAGATATCATAATGGGGAAAAAAAAGCCAAGATAAAAGTCCCAAGCTGTGTTTCAAGTTCAGATGCATCCTGATAGGATTTCATATGCTGGAATCAACACTAACAAACAGAAACACTGAAATCCTTAACCCAAACAGCCACAAGGATCAGTCATTAAAATGGAAACAAACTCTTAGGAACATAAAATAGCACATGACCTTATAATGTCCTATTAAACAAAGGTAATTGCTTTAGGGGGCCTACAAATGCTTCATGTTCTTAAGAGGTGTGGATTTGTCAACCTCCTCTGATTTTATGCTATAAAAGTTCAATATAGTGGCACCTGGGTGGCTCAGTCAGTTGGGCATCTGCCTTGGGCTCAGGATCCAGTCCCACATCAATCTCCCTGCTCAGTGGGGAGTCTGCCCCCCCACCACCACCGCTCATGCCTTCTCTCTCTCTCTCAAATAAATAAATAAGTCTTTAAAAAAAAAAGTTCAATATACACAAAAAGCTGGGGTCTTATTCCCAGAATCCAGCACAAAAGTGAGTGTGAATTTCAAGCTGGAAAATACTATTGCAGTCAGTGAGAGAGGGCTACTGAGAGATAGCTATAATTCATACGCTCCTGGCAGTAGCACTTACTGGTACAAGTGCCTTTTATAATAGGTTAAGATCTTAGACCATTTATGAGAGTCTCCCAGGGAATAAATTATCATGAGCTCTGATACCTTGTTTGGATGCCGAGTTTGAGGGGTGGTTGACAGAATAGCTTGGTTTATCAAATCAATGTAGTGTAAATTTTTTTGATGAATCAAGAACAAAATAAATGGCATGTACCACCATTTGCTTCTAGAGAATAATCGAACCTCTCTCTTTTTTGCCTTATAATAAGATTTTACTTACAGCAAGTCCTTGGCTGCTCCCTCTTTGGAGGACATTTTAGAAGAGAAGGGGTATGTGGTTTAGCCTCCCAAATTGCCGGGTCCTCATTCCAGCCACTGACCCCGACACTTCCCCTACTTCGTCCTTCAGTGAGGTTGGGACAGAATTTAGATCTCAAAGAGAAGCCTGGGTCTAGAGTAGAGTCCTTGCTGCCAAGAGCTGCTGTTAGCCACAAAGACCTCTCACTTCTGTGAAGCTATTTCCCCTTCCCCTGGTTGTCCTTCCTTTCCCTGGAAGTGGACCCTCATTAGAACACATAGGTAATCCTAGCCTCCTGCTGGACAGCAGGGGACTCACCCTTTTCCAAAAATGTTAGGAGCTGTGTCATTTGGAGAAGAAAGCATGAATACACCCTTAGCGTATATTTGAAAGATAATCTATATTCAGAGAACAAGCCTGACATCAGTCTTTGTGACAGTTCTTTAAATGGCAGAGTGGGATAGGAGAGGTTCCGGTCTTGCAAAAGAACTCACAGTTAATAAGGCGCCCAGGCTTCTCTGCCGTCACCACTGATCTCTGGCCCAATCGGTCTTTTTGCCGGAGTATCAAACTCTTTCCCCTTGAACTCACCCTTGACCCTGCCTTGAATCTTAGTTGGGGCCAAGTGAAGCCCCAGATCCCCGTTGGAAGTGGCCCACAGCACCTGAGCCCAGCAGGCATCATGGAGCAAAGAGGCTCCCAGGCTCCCCGCAGGCCCCTGGGGGAAGGGGCATGAACCGGAGAGGAGGGCCGCAGCATGGTGCCCCTTGGAAAGTTGCTGCCTTGTGTCTGGGCCTGGCGGAGGAAAGAGTTGCCTGCTGCCTCTGGCCCTGAAGCCCTGGCTCCTGTTTAATATTCTGCCTGCTCCGTTGATGTTGTGCTTGGCTCCTGTGGGGCTGCAACTCCCGGCTTGAAACTGGAGCCAATTTTCTGTCTTCATCTTACAGTGTTTTGACTGGAGGCAGATCCAGTTCAGGCCGATCAGGGCTGGTGGAAACAACTACCAAGTGTGTCTCTGTCTGCTTCATTTTGGGAGAAGAAAGTGGAGGGAGCCCCAGACTGGTGTAGAGGATCTGGCCCTGCGGAAAGGAGAGGAGGAGGCAGCCGCCCTGCCCCAACCGACCCAGAGCCTCAGTAGGGATGACGGTGGAGATTTTGGCCTCTACACCCTTTTTGACTGATTAGCGGATTTCATCAAAGGAGACTCTCGGGATTGACTAGAAAATTGATTTTGCCTTATTAATAGAAAGGAGGTGCAAGGGTTTGGGACTTGCCTCTTAGCGGTACATTTTCTGCCGTAAGGTCAGGGGGAAAATGTGTTCGGGAGGCAAAGCAGCTGTCTCAAATGGGGCTGAGGGAAATCTGAGAACAATAAGAAATGGGATTTTAAAGATCCGCCCATGAAATGCAGATTGCTGAACACAGAGGCTGAGCTAATAGCAGCGAGAGAGTTTGCTGAGGTTTTCTTTGAAAAAATAATAAAATGTTTTCAGGGTGAAGGGGACGACTGAGAAGTAGAAGTTTCCCAAAGCAAAGTAATGAACATGCCAAGGCCATCCCCGGCATGATTAGGGCTATTTTCTTTCTTTCTTTCTTTTTTCTTTAGATCTGAGGCGGTCAGAGATGACTCTGGTTCTGTCCATGAATAGATTCTGCGAGCCCATTGTCTCGGAAGGAGCTGCTGAAATTGCTGGGTACCAGACACTATGGGAGGCTGACAGCTACGGAGGCCCAAGTCCCACTGGGCCAGCACAGGCTCCTCCGCAGGGAGACCGGGGAGCCGGTCCCCCACTGGCAGGTACTGCCCTTGACCTCCCCCCACCAACCCTGCTCTCTGCAGCCAGACTAGTGAGTGGGGACTGGTGGTCTCCTGTCTCCCGGCGCCCTTCTGAGCCCAGAGAGAGCTTGCTAGTCAAGGGACTAACAGGCTGTCTGTGCCCCTCTTAACTGAGCCCTGGGCTCCAGGAGAGGATCAGAGGGGATACTGAAATTGCATTCAAATCTGCATCTACATGTGCTGCTGCTTCGTGTGTAAGTCGTGCCACCTATATTTTTTAAAGAACCAAACCAGATTTTGAGACCCTGAGTTTGGGTTGTGGTTTTTCACCCTGCGGAACTGCATGGTTCTCTTCAGAGGTACACAAGCCCTGGTGAGCTTTGGACAATGAAATCTTTATCCCCTGATTCGTAAAGGAAACTGCACTTTGGGCCAGAAGCTATGTGTCTTCTCTTTTTACTAACCACACAACTGGCTTTCGTATTCAGGGGGAAATTTTTTTAGATACAGGAGTATGTTCTTCCTAATTCTTTATTCTTATAGTCTAAGGTAAGTTCCTTGGATTTTTGTGTGGTATGCTTTAAAAAAAAAAAAAAACCTAAAATGTAAACTAAGTACTTCTTGAAGTTCATTTGGGATTAAAAGTTCTGTTCATTCAAAATTAGACCCTCCTTTTATTTGTGGTGGACATATTACATTTTTGAGAGAGAATAAAGGACTTTGGTTAGCCCATATTTTAGTCTTAAGCTAAAATTTTTTAATTTCATATTTTGAAAGAAGAAATATAACTCCGATGTTCAGATAGTCGTTTGCTTCCTTACCTACAGCCAATAACATTTTAAAGTTATTTGGTTATTCGTGCTTACGGTTAAAGATGTATGTTTGAGCAGTGGTGCCCTATTATCATGGATTTAATTAAGCAGTTTGAATAAATACTGTCCTCCCCTTTATGAATTTTGCTGTTTGCATAGAATTAAGATTCCGAGTATTTTGTAAATGCTGACATAGGTCATTTTCCTTTATGATTACCTAGAAATCCTTGCCTAGCCTGGGTCACAGAATTCTGTATGATAGCAAATATTAAGACAAATGTTTATTTTTAATCACCACATGTACAGCCAAATACATAGCCAACTTATCTTCTGTAAGGAAAGTATTTTGTTTGGAGAACCTCTGGCAAACCGCATGTCATTTGTCGTATCTGATTTATTACCACAGGATCACATTACAGGGGAATTTCAAATCCTATAACAACATCCAAGATCACATACTTTAAGAGGAAGTATGTGGAAGAAGAGGATTTTCACCCACCACTCAGCAGCTGTAGCCATAAAGTATGTTTTTTTAATAGTCATTATTTTTATTAAGAATTTAAAATACTTAGTAACAGTTGCTTGATCCATTTCCAGCAATTAAATTGTTCCACCCAAGCAATGAAAATGAGCCACTTCTCAGCAGAGCCATATTAATCGTTGTCACTTTTTTGGGTCCTCTGTTATTTTCACAAGTAGTGGAAGAAAGAGCCAGCAGGAGCTCCTCTACCCAGAAATAACAAAATTATATAATCCAAGGAACATCTTTTTTACAAATGTCTTGATTGTTCTCAAGTTGCGTTAGTGGTTATGAGCCATCCATGTTTTCACATGTGTGCAGAAACGCATGTCTTCCCTGACATCTCCCCTCTCTCCACGCTCTAGGTCCCATGGGCAGAGCCCCTTCTGTGTGTGCCCACCTGAGAGCAGTTTCCCGGGGCTTCTCTTGACCCATTAGAGGTGGACTCACTATCGCTTGAGTGTGTGCTTGCAAGTAGAAACTCACACTTCATTACGTAGGCTTAGTTTGCTAAAATACGTAATTCATTCCCTGGGAAAGATCACAGCTGACTCTTTTGCATGCATAAGAAGAAAATAATGGGATCCAGGAAGTGCCTAGAAATAAGGAACTGGCCACCTAAACTTTTCAAATACCAGTTCTTTTTCCTTATGGTTCTCTTCCTTTAAAAAAAACTATCTACAGATGTAATCCAGGAGGGTATAACCCAGACCATAGTTTTCTGAGAGGCGGAGAGGATTTTTAATTTTTCAATTCATCTTCCTCTGTGTCTCCTCTTACCCCCTCTCCTCGCTGCCTCACGAGCATGTCCTTCAGGTGTTGCCTTGACCTTGCTCATAAAGGCACCGGCATGGGTTGGTGTATGCTGGGCTTTTCTCTGACTGTATAGTTCCTGCCTTTGGTTAACCCAGGCAGGCTTTGTTTGCAGTTCCTCAGGTCATCCTACCAGGTGGCTTTTTTTTTTTTTTTTAAATATGACCTGGAAAAGCTGGTCACCAGGACATAAGCAGTTTATTTCCTCTTTCATTTCTGTGTTATGGTTGTGACTATTTCCCAGTGGCTGCTGGATTTGTACCAGTCATCACCCAGTGATAGTATCATAGTGCTCAGAAGTGAGTCTTCTCATTTCCTCCCTGCATCTCTCCTCCTGCCTGGCCCCAGAAGGAGGCTTGCTTTGGCCCTTCTACTGACTGATCATTTCAGGGGCTGAGCCTCAATTATCGCTGTCCCTCAATCAAGTAAGGATAATTGCAAGTGTGAAAGCCAGAGGGACAGCGCTGAATGTAGCTCTTGTGCTCTTGGCCAGGGTGTGAAGTAGACTTATGACCTGCATTTTGACATCTTTCAAAAGACACCGACATATAATACATGAGTGTATGTGTGTGCACATGCATGGGTTTGTATACACACACAGAAAAGCCCAAGTATCCTAAGAGTACAGCTTGCTGGATTTCACAGTGGAAACATATCTATGTAACTAGCATCCAGATCAAGAAACAACATAACCAGCAACTGAGAACCCCTCCTTGCACCCCTCATTACTATGTCCCTTCCTTCCGGAGAAGCCGCTCCCCTGACTTCTAGTAGGGCAGATGAGTTGTGTGTTTTGGCATCTCCCTCGGCCATAGAAACACAAACAGCCTCACCTGTCCCTGTTGAGGTCTGCAGGGGGATCGGATTCCCAGGGGTTTGACTGCACCTTTGAGGCAGGAAGCCAGGGAGGGTCATTAGCAACACCGGGGACAGCATCCCTAAGTGAACCTGGGAGGACCAGGACCACAGCATGCCCAGATCCAGAGAATGCCCAGAAAGAAATCTACTGCAATGGCATGCTTACACAGCCCACGTCCTCTAAGTTTTCTCTTCTGTGTTTGGTTTTTAGACCATCTCGATTTTTGAGGAACGAGCCCACATCCTGTATATGTCATTAGAAAAGCTCAAGTTTATCGATGATCCTGAAGTGTACCTCCGAAGGTCCGTCCTTATCAACAACTTGATGAAACGGATCCACGGAGAGATTATCATGCAGAATAACTGGTGCTTTCCTGCCTGCTCTTTCAACGGCCCCTCTGCCCAAGAGTGGTTTCTGGCTCAAGACTGTCCTTACCGAAAACGACCGCGGATGGCCAAAGAGGAGTGTGAAAAGTTTCACGCCTGCTGCTTTTACCAGGAATGTGGTGGTCACTACCTAAACTTGCCCCTTTCTGTCCATGCTAGTGTCGGAAGTGCCTCCACCACTGCCCCCTCTTCCTCCTCGTCTTCCTCTTCCCCTCCCCCTCTGCCTTTACCTAGTTGTTCCCACCAGGTGGATTTCAGTGTAGGCTGTGCATCTGCTTACAAGGGTGACGGTCAGGTACCCGCCAGCGAAATCTTTGTTACTAATGTCAGGTCACTAGGTGTTCAGGAAAAGGCCACATTAAGTGAGGAGAAGGTAAATAACGACACCAACAGGGATGGTGGCCCATTAAGCCATGAACCTGTGGGAAACGACCTTGCTTTTGAGTGCAAAGGCCAATTTTACGATTATTTTGAGACTGGATATAATGACAAAAACAATGTGAGTGAGTCTTGGAAAAAGTCCTTAAGGAAAAAGGAGCCTTCACCAAGTAACAAACCGTGCTGTGGCAAAGGGAGCAAACTATGAGCCATCTTTCCACCGAACCTCTGAAGCATGCACAGCATGACCAATTAGCTCTCATAAATTTTATTTTGAATGGATTTTATAGTTTTGTACAACTGATAAAATTATGCCATGAACACGCCGTGTCGTTTTAATGCCTGGAGAGCAGATTGCGTAAAACCTCTGTAGAGTAGGCATCAGCGAGCTACTTCTCAATGTGGTGATGTTACCAAGACAAGAACACAGTTGACTTGATGCTTAAAAGTATACCTTAGTTTTCTCACAGAAAAGGGCCAGTAGATTAGACTGGGGGACAGTGTGCCCTTGTGACCTTTCCATGACCAACCCCCGCAAGGAGCCTGTCACTAGCTAAGAAACGGCAACACGTTTGCCAATCAATTAGGTAGTTGTTTCGTCAGTAAATCAACATAACCAGCAAAGGATGTCTGCTGCTTCTATATGATACAGTATTTTTTTTCTGAATGAAAGACTGAAGACAGGGAGCTAGATGAAGTGGCTTCACCGTGCCGTTAAGGACTTGTCTTTAACAGTCTTGCATGACAGACGAAAATAGGATGTAACATAATGAAACACCTGTCTAGGGGTGGCAATCAACAATATGTGGAGAAGGGTAATCCCTGCGAGTTCCTGGCTTGCCTGCGATGCGTGATCAGGCAGTTAGAGAGGTGTTATACAGGGCGATTTTTGGTGCCTTACTTTATCTTAATTTTTGCCAATGTGAAAATTAAGGATAAATCAGAGTTACAGCAGGGATTTAACAAACAGGAAAAAAATACACAGGGTGGATCAATATTGTTTGGAAACCGTTAACTTCGAAACTATTGTGTTTAACTTTTAATTCAACATCTCTATTCTTCCTTTGTTTTTTGATGCCCAATTGCTTTTGGATTTGGCATTTTTAGAAAGGGATGGGGGAAACAATAGAGCTGTTAGAAACCAGCACTAAGCTGCTTGAGCTTTTCTATGGCAACGGGTCTGTTGCTGGGGTTTGGGTTTTTGGGTTTGGGGTTGTTTTGTTTTGTTTTGTTTCCTTGTCCAATGAAGTTCATGAACCGGTGGCATGCATTATATTTTAATCTGTTTTGCATCATTTCACTCGTTTAGATTATAAAAGCATGTGGTTTTTTATATATGACTTTTGCTGTTGATTAAGAAGCACAATGTTAATAAATGATGTGGTGATCAATAAGGTTTTATCTTAAAGAATGTAAAGACTTAATTTTCGGAAAGTTATTTTGGAGAAATGGGACTCAGCTGGCAATAGCTACCATGTATTTGGGCCACCGTTTTCTCAATGATTTCTTTAATTTGTACATTTGCAAGAGTGTTCAGAGTGCCCCTCTGACCGTCCATCCTCCTACTCCAGCCAACTCCTCCTGCTAAACTGTATTCCAGTTTCCAAGATTGCTAATTGACTTGGGCCTCCTTAAACAGTACTTCACAGGAACCAAATGCCAAATGGAGGAAATAAGTAAGTCCTCCCAGTTTCTCCAAGATAAAGCTTTTTTATTATTGCTATTAATATTAAATATAGGTCTCATTCATACAGTGTATGAGTAGGATCATCATTTGGACAATGTCCACAAGGACCAATTTTTAAAACATGTTCTTGTGTTATGGCTAATAGTCTAGTAACGTTTTGTCCTTTATTTTCAGTATTTGATAAACATTTGATGTTGAAAACGTAGATGATAGATGCTTGTATATGAATGTGTTGTAATAAAGTGAGGTTTTCTTGATATATATTTATTAAAATGATCAAAATGCATTAAGATTTCCTTATTTTAATGATCATCGGCAATGTCTCTGTTTTCCGTTGCTCTTTCTCCTTTACAAAACTCAAGATGTCAAGTGGGCAGTGGCCACACGGGAGTATTCAAAATGAAAGACTTCTTTTAAGAGGTCAACCTGACCGGTGTTTTAGAATGGTCCTAGTTTGTGAGTTAGATTTCTGTGGATTAAGAGGCCAATGTTAATAAATGATGTGGTTGGTCATCAAGAAGGTTTTATCTTTAAGAATCTAAAGATTTTTTCATTTTTGCAGTTTCTGACAAAAAAAAAATAGTAACACAAATACTGAAGGAATCCTGGCTGATCGCTTTATGGAATGTCAAATTGTCAAAAAGATGACCCATATGTCAGCAGTCAAAATAGCAATAGATTACTGCTGGTATTCCATACCACTCTGTTTTAAGGTTGCTAGTAGAGGCTAATATTTCATTTGATAAAGGGAGAAAGCTTGTTGGGAGCTTAATTGTCACGTGTAACGTTCTTACTATGAATGTAATAAATCCAAGAGATTTACATATGAAAGAAATGACATCCCTTTTGCTCTTTAGAAAACCCCCCTCCCCCACATTATCAGATAATGTTCCTCTTGATGGTCAAAGCTGTAAAGTGACAGTTGATGATTTTCCAGAGCCCTCACCTGAGCTGCAGGCTCAGGCATCTACAGCAGAACCCACTGGAGCTTCTCTGCTGGACGATTAGGGGCCTTTGAATTCAGCAGCATTAAAATTTGTAATTTTTAGTCATCAAGCTTTTGTCCCTAAGACATTTCTAGCATACCAAAAGACATGCCTCCACCCCTTCCCTGAAACCCCTAAACACCCATCCAAATAAGAATGTTCCTTTGGTTGGTATGAGAGCATTAGGGCCTCTTAGGGGCCTGTATCACCATTTCTATTCAGAAGATACTCAGTTCAATCTTTCCAGGTGCCCAAGGCATAGATAATAATTTACTGACTGGGTTCTAGAGTTCTGTCTCAAGAGACTGGTAAAGCTAAGACACTCTGCCCCCCAGACTCTCTCTACCCACTGGAAGTAGCACCCTTTCTCATGACTGGGCTCTGCTTTAAGGAGAACCTGATAGGGCAGATTCCAGACTTTTAAAAGTTAAATGAGGCGAAATCTTCACTTAAAATGGCCCAGCTCCCCCCAAGAATGCCTTTAATTGCTACTCCCTGAGGCATCTAGGTGCACCTCGTTAACCAAATCATTAACCTTTGCCTCTGGTCCTTCCTCTCTTACAGTGATGATTGTAGAAGACGGTCTGGCAGAGTCACTTCAAAAGAGCACAGATATCAACGTGCTTTGCCTCCAACTCTTAAAATCCTATGAATCTGTCCTTCACTTTGAAGGGGTCCCAAGGACAGGATTTCAGCGGCCAGGACTTAGGAGGATGGTAGAAAAACTCAAAGCCAGTGGAAGTGGCTATCTCACTACCAGTGACTTAAGTAGATTAAGGCATCTTCAGCATGATCTTTTAAGACAATAGAGATTCAGAACATTTTGTTTCATAAGGGCAGAAGCAAGTGAATGAACCTTTATTTTAAGAGATCGTAGTTAACTCCATCAAAGCAGGGCTATCCAGCCCTGAAGTCATGAACTGGTATTACAGCTCCACTTAATGACTTCCTTTTGGTGTGTCTAGAGAAGAGCTGAGAAAAACTTGGAGCAGACATGGGCCTTAAGAGTTGTCAACTTAACAATAAATATCAGACAAGGATATAAGGATTCCCATGTAGCATAGCTAGGCTTTTCTATTCCTCAAACAAGTCGTGAGCAGAAAATGTTTTTGAAAATAATTAGCTGTTCAAATCTATTTTAATGACAGCCCCTTAAATTTGAAGCTATTTCATTCATGGTTAAGGTTATCCCTACCTATTTTGCTAGGCCGTTTCCAAAACGAGGGTGCAGCAGGCCCTGAACAATGATGGTTTAAACAAGATGCAGAACTGCCCACGAAGAGAGGAAGACATCGGTATTTCAGTGATGAGAGACAATGTACGGTTTCTAGTAATTCATGTTAAGATCGCTGTGCTTTGATTGCGGCTTAACCTGAAATGCATTCAGGATCTTGTAAGTCACTACTCAAGGCCTCCGTTGCTTCCCTACACAGTTACAGTGTGTAAGCGAGGTCGATGATCTGCACACGGCTATCACTTCCATTGATTGTGAGAGCTACATGACCCAGGGTGAAACAGTTACTACTTTAGAGATTGTTTCCAGCCCTGCGTACATGCCGTATTTCAACTGGGAGAATTCACTCAGGAAAAGCACTTGAAAAGATGTAAGTTATGAACACTTGAATCTCGCATCCTGCCATAAAGTGCATCAGCAAGTGAGTTTAATAAAACATGCTGTTTAAAATAGTCTGTAATTTCCTGTTTCTGCGTTTCCCTCCAGTATCTGTGACAGGCTGAAGAACCGTGACTACACGAAGGGCATTTACACAAGCTTGCCTGGTGGAGTTTGCAAACCCTTGCTATGAGCTTCAGCTTCTTTGGTAAACAATTCTCTGGTGGGCTCTCTACGGTGGTTGTTTTTTTTCCTTGGTGTTGGTCCAATTTGTTAATTTTGAAAATGCAAACTATTTATTCATAGCCTGGAAACACCTGCTTTTGACCGTGGGGAAACTGATAGAACGTATGGAGACGCATTAGTCATTCGTTGCTCATGAAGTACCCACGTGTTTCTCAACCCCATTTTTATAATCATTTCTTTGATTTAAAATTATAAAATCTTATAAAATGCCATATCTGGGGGATAGAACACACATAGAAAACTTGCAAGGACGTAAGTTGTGATCCCTCTTCCTGTCAAGATCTCAAGACAATGGACAAATAGTGAAATTTGGGAGAGACCCAATCTGCCCCACGACCTGTGCTGCCCAGCTTGGCGTGGCTTTCAACAGGGATTGCCTTCATCCAGGTCATTCCATGGCAGCATCTGGATCCATACATCAGGCATGTGACGCCCCTTTCCCCTGCCAATGCCAGCCTAAGTATGCCTGCGGATGTTTTCTGAGGTGAGTGCAATGAGCTACAATCAGATATAAACTAACTCTGTATCCTGGCAATCAAGAAGCCGAGCTTTCTCAGTGCACCTGGCCCAGCACTCAGGCTTCCCCGAAACTCACAAAACACCTGTGTGCATGATAGAGCAAAGATGGAGAATGACAGGCTATGAGGCATGGGATTTCAGCAAAAGGTTGGGAGCTGCTCTGTGGTGGAGCAGAGTGCCAGAAGTCCGAGATAGACAGTTGCCCGCATGCATTGCAGAATGAACTCACTTTCTTTAAGGAAAAGTCTAAAGATGAAAAAGGAATGACCTT